GGCCCTCCAAAGTCTGCTTCTCCCCAAAGCGAGCCACAAAACCTGACTTGGAAAAACACACATACAGACTAAGTTATTGTTTGGTCTGAGTTCCTGCACATATTACTCATCTGCTCTCAGCCTAATCTCCAGCTGCAACATGTATAGTGTATGTGTGGTTACCACATTCACAAACTTGGACACGTATATTAAGTCTAGGGGCAGTTATTGAATTCCGTCAGTACTCAACATTGTTTATGTGTTCTTCAGTCAAACATTTGTAAATTAAATTTCTGCATATGGGTAATTCGTCTTTTCAGAGATGGGCCTGCCTTTTCAGAGGAAAGAATCTGTGGTTATGTAGTATCAGCATATCTCAGTTTTGGTCTGAAGGTGCACGGATACCATAAAACCTTTGGGAAAGAGTAGATAACCAAAGTGACTTTTTATTGTAGATAAAAACTAAGACTTTCTTTCATATTTCTCTTGTCAAAGTGTTGTTTTAATTTCCTAATACATAACCACATCTTTTAAACACTTGTTGATGAGTTTACAAGTTAACAGGTTTGCGGTTCTTCTCTTAGTACAGTACAGTGTTAACATTCTTGTCTGTGACAATCACTCTTACTCTACAAATGTGAAAGATAGAGATTAGTTTGAAAAACCCTAAAGTATTTCTTTATGACCTAAAGTTGCCCCTGCAGAACTATGGTATACCCAGTTATTTTGCTCCATATAAAATAATCTGTACATCTAGATGGCTGTTAATACATGAAAACTGGAGTTCCCTAGAAGAAAGACTTCCACTAGGTCTTCTCACTATCTCGTCTTACTCCTTGCCCTCTTGCCAACTTACCCATCCTCCCTTGTCCCTGATCTCAGGGCAGATGACTCTCTCAACATAGCTGCCTACAGACTGCTGGATCTGGGGTAGAATGCTGTTCATGCCATTTTTTTGGCAGTGCAGTGCCATCTGACCAGCAAGCACAAACACAGAGAGTACGGCACTCCAGGCCAGGTCCCTGCGCCTCGTCTGAGAGAAGTGCTCGTCCAGGATGGACAGCAGTGTAGAACATGCTGTCTCCTCTGTCACGTCCCGGAAGACGCGTGGCCAGCGACGGAAGAAGATTGGGAAGCGCTGGAGGAGCTCATCTCCTGCATGGCGCAATGCTGCTGAGGCTTGAGAAGGTGCTGGGCCTGGTGATGTACCTGGTTTGGCTGTTACATAGTTAATATAGTCATAGGCCATTAGGTAGGCCTCTCGAACCAGTGGATCAGGGCTGGACAGGCCCTGGCCAATCAGAGGCTTATCTAATAGGCCCATCAATGCTGTATCCAATCAGGGTCTTGGTTTTCGATTTGGATTTTCCTGCATGATGATCTGCCTTGGTATCTTTTTGTCAGGGTTCTGCAAACACATTAAATCCCACAAGCAGAAATGTACTTAGATTCATTTGTATAGTGCTAGTGATGAAATTGTTGTGATCCTTCAAACCTTCAAATGTCCTAGGTACAAAGTGCAATTTGTTGTTCTTGTGAAACATATTGCCATATCAAATATCACACACATCCACACATACACATGCACCCATGTGTCCACAGACGCTGGCGTGACTCACCACTTGAGAATCCCTTGAGAAGTCCAACACTAAGGCCCTGTAGCAACTGTAAGAACAACAATGAATTAGCTCTTTTGTCTGTTTTGTCGGTCAGCTAAGGTGCATGCATGCGTGTATATTTATGTGTGTGTTCTAATACGTTGACCCTGGTTATATTTAGCACTCCTGCTGCTCAAACGTGTACAATTTCGAAGTCTCTGACCACCACCACCACCACCCCCTGGCCTCTGTAGTTCCAGCTAAAAATATTATGCACTCAGATGAGTGAGCCTTGATTATCCTCTCTATAAAACTGATCAACACTAAAGCCTCACATTTGTCTTGTTGTTAATGGGCACCATTTTTAAATAAGGAGTACTTTGAACAAATCCTCACATAAATGCAGGGTATTTGTATTGCATTTGTATACCAAAAGAATTGTGTCACCAGAATGAAAGTCTGGATCTTGTAAGAAAATCCAATTATTCTTCAACTCAGTGAGATTTCAGATTTGTGATATATATGTTGTTGTTGTTGTTGTTGTTTTTTAATCAGTGGAATTGACTTGAATGTTATAGCCCTAGACAGGCAACAGAGGGCATGCTACTCAAACCACTGCATTCAGTATTGAAGATTTTGAAGTCCTCTTTCGTAACTTTAAGTTTCTGACATGGGGAAGTCTTCAGGACTTCACAGCACCAAAAATGAACTAAGAAAAAAATAAACCACAGGTTGTCATCTGTTTTTTTTTTTGTGTGTGTCCTATTTAAACAAAGGCTGGTGAGGGAATGCTTGTTTATAGCTAATACTATAGTAATGTAAATGACAGCCGGAGAACTAACTTGTTTCATGGGCTTTCCACAATATTAAATGTAACTATAAAGGGATAAAAAGGGACATGCCATTCTTTAATTAATAAAAAATTGTAAGTGGCAAATTGCTGTCATATAAAAGGACCAAAACACTTCAGGGTGTGTGGTTATAGGCAAATAATCATGAACTCCGCTTCATCATACCAACACCCGGTCGTTGATTATTTTCCTTTAACAACATGTCCAGTTTTATTCCTTCCATGTGGCTTGGTTGAAAGTGGATTATACAGTCACTAGGAGGCAGTGCTGTACCAAGAACCGGGTTTGTTTAAAGACAAACAAAAAGATTATTTTGAAAGCATGATGCTTGTCTTATCGCCTAATCTGTTGTTTCGAATGAAAATTTAATAGAAGGGGGTACGGCATCTTTGTAATTCATTCCTGCCTGTCAGCCATTCATTCCGGAAACGTGAACATGTTATTCTTGTGGTAATTAATGGTGTTTATTAATGAGCCTGGCTCTGACTGTTGTGCGAGGCCATGGAGCCTTTCAAAAGACCATGACAAAGCTTTAATATGCGACAGTGAGCTAAGTAATTAGTACAAAGTAGTGCTCATCATCACTATTTCTGCCTCAAGTACTAATTACTTTTAATTAAGTGGAAAAAGCACACCACCGAGAAGAACGTATACATTTTCTTGCTTTATCTGATGCGCATGAACTGACTTCTCATGCCTTCATAATGCTCTGTGGGGTCTTTATTGTTCCTGACCTGGCTAATTCGACTCATTTGAAAGAGCAATCAGGGCTGACCTTAATTGGCATGAGCAACAAATGGAGGTTGTAATTAAGGAGCTCTGAGAGAAGGACGGAAACTGAAAGACAGGACAGGAGGAAATAACAAACACTCTCAGAAACAAAGGGAGTAAACTCTACTTGGCCTTGTCAATAGGGTGGTACCATCAAGGGGACATGTACCATTAGTATATATACACTATATGGCCAAAAGTTTGCAGACACCTGGCCATTACATTCATATTTGCTTTTTGAACATCCCATTTCAGATTTAGCCCCACTTTGCTGTTGTAATAACCTCCACTCTCCTAGGAAGGCTTTACAGTAGATTTTGGAGCGTGGCTGTGCGGATTTGCCCATTCAGCCACAAGACCATTAGTGAGGTCAAGCACTTATGTCAGGTGAGAAGGCCTGGGGCAGAGTCAGCATTCCAATTAATCCCAAAAGTGTTCAGTGGGGTTGAGTCCACTCAAGTTCCTCCACACTATCCTTGGCAAACCATGTCTTCATGGAGCTCGGTTTGTGCACAGGGGCATTGTCATGCTGGAACATGTTTGGGCCTCTTAGTTCCAGTGAAGGTAAAATTGTAATGCTACAGCATACAGTGATTCTATGTAATGAAATAAATTACATACAGGGATAATTTCACATATTTACAATATATTATTTTCATATTTACATTTATTTCTGTAAAACTGCTTTGTGGCAATGTCCATTGTTAAAAGTACTATACAAATAAAATTGAATTGAATTGAATTAATTGTGTGCTTCCAACTTTGTGGCAACAGTTTGGAGAAGACCCAGATATGGGAGTGATGGTCTGGTGTCCACAAACCTTTAGCCATATAGTGTGTTTTGCCTGGAAATCTTTAAAAATAATTTACAGTACATAATTGGACCTTAAAGTGCCCTTGAAATCAAAATGAGTATTTCAAAGATTTTGCACCCTTCCCTTAGTGTTATGGACATATATTACACTGTATATGAAAAAAAATAGTTTTGGAGATGTTCTTTTTTAATTTTATATGTTCATCCAAATAAATGCTCTCTAAAGCCATATATGTCCTTGCCCCAGAGGCGTGTCTTGCTCTACAGAAGTAGCTCATTTCCTGCGGTAGTAGCTTGTTAGCGGTAAATGTTTCATTGGTTGTTTTTGTTGTGTATCTTCACGGACACTATTCCTTTTTCCACCATCACTTGGTAGAGAAATAATGGTTGGTTATGTGACAGGCACGATTAGAAAGTGTTTTACCAGAATGTCACTTCCTCGGTCTGAGCGAGAAGGTCAGGGCTTCTCTATCAATAAGAGTGATCTCTCCGCTGTTCTTCATATTTAGCTAGCTCAATAAGCTACTGTCAGGTTTGTTTAGATTGGTCAGTGTGGCACATCCTGAACGCTATTGGCTGTTGTAAGTCAATCAAGCATTCCAACACGAAGTCACTCTTACTTCCTGTTTCAGAAGGAAATACATCGACAAATGGAATTAAATCACAGCTAAGAAGCCATTTTATGGGAACTTTAAGGACCAGTACTGTAAAAGTAGAAGTTAAACCACATGCATTTTCCTACACTCTAAAACATTCTGGGTTATTTTTTACATCACAGTTGCTGGGTTTAACTAAGTAGGATCAGGTAGTTGTTTTCATAATGGGAATACTGGGTTGGTGATACTGACCAGAAAGACCAGTTGAGACAGAGCAACCAGAAAAATTCTGCAATTGCAAGAAATGTAAGTTTTCATTCACATTTAACTTACTTTATAATTATTTGAACTGTTGAAATAATTTTTCTGTAGCCATTATATAGGCAATAGGTCCCTGGAGGAATAGTGGTTAGGCCTAAGCAGTCTCAATGCCAGGACCTGGGTTCGATTCCCGGCCAGGGAACCGCACATGATAGTGTGCTCCCAATACCGGTCCCAAACCTGGATAAAATAGGGGAGGGTTGCATCAGGAAGGGCATCTGTGCCAAATCAAATATGTGGACCAACGATCCACTTTGGTAACCCCTAATGGGAGCCGCTGAAAGACAGAGAAGAACAACAACAACATTATTTAGGCAATAACCTTTTAAACATGTAGTTTGGCTTGATAGCCTGTGCTAGCATTCTAACATAAAATATGCTAGCTAGTGTTATTTGAGGGGAAAATGTAGCTGAAGTTGGCTTCTTTGGTATTTTTAAAGGTGAGATTAAAATGTGTACATTATAATGACAGTTAACATTAAGTCACCTAAATTTTGCCTGCCACTTAACTATTAATGTTACTGCTAGCTAGTTAAAAACTACCTCATATTTCCTCTGTAATATTAGCACAGGTTATTGGCTAGCACTGGAGTGAAGTTCATTCTTATCCTGCCCTTGACGCTTGTCACTCATGATTTCAAATGGACATGGAAATGATAGAGTTATTATGTTTTAGTTCAGTAAAGCTGTCTCATGCTAGATGTTTTTTGTCGAGAAAAACGCAGGATGAATCTTCTTTTGTGCTGTTTGTGTGTCTACAGCCCGGCAATGTAGTCATTTTTACCCACAACTTGAGTTAAAAAAAAAAAAAACTCAAGTCAGCATGCTGGGTCAACATCCCAAGCCAACCTGGGTTTCCAAATTTACCCAAATTTTTAACCCATCAATTTCACCAAAGTGTAGGTAAAATATACACACTAAAAGAACTATACATGTCCCATTGTTGGTACCGCCCCAGCAACAAGGGAAAGTATAGTTTGGTACCTTTATTTCTGGGAGTGTGAAAGTGAGAGGATGAATTTCCACCAAAGCTTTGAATAATCAGTCATTATTTTCCCATTTTGGTCTCTTGTGGTTTATGGGTGGTTTTTGAAGCCGTTTAATTTCCTGTCAGAAGTGGATTGCTTATACGAGTGTGAGTCAGGGGGATTTGTGTTTTTGTTTTTACAGCATGCAGTTCTCGGCTCGAGGTCGGGTGTCATGCAGAAGTTTAATGCGCTGCTCATTTCCTGGACCGGCTAAGATAGAGATCAAAGCTTCTCGTACATCCGAGGTGTGGACCCACACAGACACGAAGTGTGTGCACATGTCATCTGGATCACATCCCCTTCATGACTGTATTCCTCACTGAACACTAATTCTGTTTCTGTGATATAACCATGCTGGCATGTCCCACTTTATTAAATTTCCTCCAGCAGATGCAGGAACTGGATCACCGAGCACTCCCCCACTCGCGTTTCTCTACTGTAATACATCAAACATGTCTGCAGTGATTATAATTGGGGACATGTGACCTGGTTTGGGTGACTTATATCTTCCGATGACAGTGATGCTGCATCAGCAAGTGTTGGTTCAAATATGAAACACTGGTTAAAAAAAAAAAAAAGTCAGTTCAGAAGTTTACATCTTCCTTTCTGAGTGTGTTGAATGCAGTATGCACTCTTTTCAGGAGAAAGTAGCAAAAGCATGCTCAGAAAGTCACTAGAAGTTGCCAGATGATGAGAAATAAACTTATTTGTATATTCATTGAACAGGATCATTTTCATGTCATATCTTGTTACCTGAAGGAAGATTTTTTTTGAAGACACTTATAGAGTTTTATCAAAATAGAAAACAATAGTTTAAAATGTATTTCTTATAGAAAGAAAGCGTCCGAAAACATACTATATACATAGTTACAAAATTCTAAAAGAAAGTATAAAACGAAGAACAAAGAAGTGAGCGGGTGGAAAAACAATGGTGATCAGTGAGTGGTTGTTGGGAACAGTGGTGATCAGTGA